TGCATTGTGCATCCAATACTGGTTGATAGAGCTTTTCAATGGTTACAAAATGCGTGTATTCTCTTCTTCGCATCATCTAACTCAATGAAAGTGGTGGAACAAAACGTTATTTCAGCTTAGAAAGTTGATCCTTTTCATCAAGATATTCTTCATTCCATTTTTCTCCTTAACTTGTTGTAGAGATAAGTTTGATCAAGTCTTGTAGAGAATTCGACGGCGCATCTTTTGCAAAAACGACCTAACTTGACCCAGAGATATAGACCTCTTAAACACTAGTCAGACACACATGGCAACCCAACCATACCCGATCCAGTCAGATCTAACGATTGAAAAGGAAAGCAATTATATGCAAAATACAAGGAGGACCAATTATTCTGGGCCAACCAGTACTATCAAGTCAAAACCATAATTTTACAATAACTAATAAAAATTAACCTGGAGAGGCGAAGTGCTCCGGATTTGAACTTGAGAAGATGTTCCGTATCTACCCAAGCACGAAAAAAACTTGCGAAGCCGGCGCTTAGATGAAAAGGTACATTTATCTAGCTGCAACGAGTTGCACTCCTCGAAATATAATAATAAAACTACTTGCTTTGAACCTCAAGGAAAATATTTAAAACATCTTTTTACCTTAGCTCCTTGTTGATACGCCCGGGCAAAAACGCCTTTTTCTAGAACTCCCTCACTATCTTCGAGGAAGAGGGAGTAACAATTGTATACCCCAAAAATCGCTGTTTTTAAGATAAATTTGACTTCTTGTCTTTCCCCAATCAGTCGTTCGAGGGGAACTTCGAGAGTTCGAAAATATGCTTTCGGTGGGCCTTCGCGGAGGACTCGAGCCCACGGAAAATGGCACTTCAATTCTAGTAGCTACAATAAATTGGAGGATAAATTCGTACAGCGTTGACTTCAGTGTGTGTATATATATTATTCAAAAACTTCAACTTAACTCTAATCTTCTTAGAAAAATCGTTTTCCATAAATCCAGAATCTCCAAAAACCCTACTTTTTCAAACTCAATGCAAACATTTTGTTCCATCAATTAGTAAGATCGAGCAAACACTTCTCTTGAAAACGAGACCTTCCGCAGCTCTCCACAACTCTTTGTCATTGAGTTATGACTTTTACACTACAACCTCCAAAGCGATCATCATCTATCTTTTTTTTTCACAATGTTGCTGAGACTTCTGTTGGTGGACCTTGTAGTGTAAAAGTCATAACTCAATGAAAAAATGTTGCGGAGAGCTGCGGAAGGTCTCGTTTTGAAGAGAAGTGTTTGCTCGATCTTCCTAACATCCGGAAATCGCCATCGCCGCGTATTCGGTGTTAAAGTGTTAACACTTTAGCGTTAATACTTTAACACTTTAACATATACGAACTCGCGGCGAGTGAGAGTGGAGAAGTGAGAGTGAAGTTGGTGAAGAAGTGCTCCACCCTCATCCTCACTTCCTCACCCTCAATTATGCACGTTTACAGTTTAATACTTTAACATATAAGAATCCGCGGCGACGGCGATTTCCGGATGATGCCTTTCCTAAGAAGGTTAGAGTTAAGTTCAAACTTTTTAAATAATATATACACACACTGAAGTCAGCGGTGTACGAATATTATCATAGTATGACTTCCATAGTGTCGTAGTGTCATTTGCGATTGTGTGTGACTGGAGTGTCTGATATTTTTTGCTTGTTCTTTCCTTTTTGCCGTGTACTTTTCCCGGCCGTAGTTTTTGCATATTTATTTTCTTTGATCAGTCGGAGCTTTGGATGGTTCTCTTTCACTTTAAAGTCGAAGGTTTTTGTTTCTTAATGCTTTTATAAATGTCATTATCCTTTATTATTAGTTTATTTTAGATGATGTGTTTGTTATCGTGTTAGAGAATTAAGGGAAAAATATAACAACTAGAAAATTAAGGTGTGTTTTCAAAAAATCTACTAATACATTCGTGGTGGAATATATGTAAAAAGTTCATTTATTGTTCTCAATGTCTTGTATATGTGGTAGGATGATCTAAAAGTCTTGGTCCCTCTGAAAAAAATTTATTTTTCTTTCTTACCGTTGGTACTGAAAATGGAGCCAAAGATATTAAAATTTGGAAGTGGCTATGTACACTTAGGTACACATAGTCACCCGACTAGATACACTCAAGTTGGTATAATCAATTAATTAGTAAATATTAAATTATATTATAGTCTTATATGTACTTAGTTATTAATATAAATAAAAGTTCTTAACTTATTAGTAATTTTACTTTATTAATTCTTTATTACATTGAAATAAAGTATAAATCAAGTATTACAACTACACAAGTATAGAAAAAAACTTAATTTAAATAAAGATCAACTAATTTAGAAACATTTCTAGCGCTTCCTCTCTTAGGCTTTGAAGGAAATGGTAAAATTTTATTATTTTCAATATATTTAATATAATGATCACGTAAAGTTATCTCGTCATAAAACAGTAAAGATGGAAGATCCCTATAACAAAGAGAAGTAGCAAAAGCCAATGCAAATAATCCATAATCGTTACCACCAATTTAAACATTTTCAGATGAAACCAAAATTTTTTCTTCATCAGGTTTACATGTCCTTAAAAAATTTATTTATTGATTCTTTTGGATAACTTAACGAATCATAAGCTTTCTAAATATTAATACAGTCCAAACTTGAAATTGTTAGCCAGTGATTATCTAATTCACGAAAAGCTATAGTATTTTATTCGACTGTCTGCGTTCTTACCATCTATCGACCAAAATTTATTATCAGATATTAGTTCATCGAACAACAGATTCATATCATGACATAAATCTGATTGACGATTGTTAATGATCAAATTTAATTCGCTTGTTTGATTACGGGATGCATGGCGTTCAGATATTTCTGGATAAATATTTTCGATTGTTATGATGATTGTGTATTCTGAGGCTCTAAAATTGTTCGTTGTTGATCTAAAAAAAGGAAGACGAATGACTACAACAGATGACTGATTTAAGTGAAAGAGTATTAGACAGGTTAACATATGCATCACTGCAGCATACATTTTTGTCTATCCAAAAATAAAACATTCAAGCTTTAAGTTGCCATTCAGAGTTTTAATGGAAACGTTTTCCATTCATTTCTAGTCATCTCTCACTAGGATCAAGTATTTACCTTTTACATGTGTCCGAGTAATATTCGCTGCATGAACTGGAGAGGTTGCTTTATTGCGACTACACGATTGCGATTGACCACTAGGACCCGCACCGTTTGGTTGAATTGCATTCTTGTTACGGTTCCCAACGTTTTTGTTCGTGATTTTATTCAATGCACCTATCAGTTGTGTATGATTTGCCATCAAATTTGATGTTCTTTCTATAAAAAGATAAAAACGAGAAACAGTGCGCATGTTGAAACCAAAAGCGGCTGTGTTACAAAGAGTGTTTCTAAAAGCGAAAATGCAATTTATCTAAACTTTATAAAGCGTAGCTTGCTTGAGCTTTGGCTCTCAAATCTAGAAATGCTGAAACTTTCTATTGATTTTCAATTTCTCCACAGCCACAGGAATGGATGAGACACTTAGTGACATAGAGTTATAAAATAATTTCAAGCGACAAAGAGAAATTATACTGATTCAGAAACGATAAATATAACTTCTCTTGCATTCCACTTAGAGAAATTTTTTTCACTAGTGTTTCAAATTCAAACCGATATATTAATTTATCCGATGGTTTCTTTCCTTCGCTCTGAATTTTGCAATTACCGTCTAAAAAGAGATGTTAATAGATGAATTTCAACCTAATTGCAGTTTTGCCTAAGTATATGTAAAGTACAGAACAGAGGTAATTGTGAAAAACACCTCCAATATATACGTGTTCGCTCACCACAGGGTTTTCGATTTTGTTCATCTTTGTGATACTCCAGAAATCGCTGTTTTTCTTGAATTATTCTCAGTACATCACCAAGTAATGTCCATGATGTATCAGCACTATCTGGCCATGTTGCATAATTATCCAGATAATCAGCTAATTATAAACCATAATCTTGCTTTAATGTCTGAACAATTTGTTTTAACTGATCATCATTTGTTGGATCTGGAATAACTTTACACCACGATGTTAGCACACGTTTATTACTAACACGTACAAGTTTTCCTCCTTTCAAGTAACCTTTTCGAGCCAAATTTCCTATCAACTCAGTTAGAGCGAGAATCATAGGAGTAGACGCGAAACGGAACTTTTGGTAGCACGATGGAATTGCGAATATCATTTAAAACGTGCGGTGTTAGTTATACATTGACAAACTGCTCCAGTTATTTTGAAATAGTTAGTTTTGTTCAAGGATGATCTTAATAGAATGGTATTTCTATTAAATGGAATATTTAGTACTTTGAATTGATTAATCAGGACGCTTCTATGTGAAGTATAGTTTGAGCAATGAAAAATAAAATGATTACAGTCTTCTTTAAAGGACACTGGTGGAGACAGAGATAAACAGTGGAGGCAGTAGAGAAATGAAACACAATTTCGTTGAAACAGATAAAGGTTTAACTGGGGAAAATCTACTCTTAAGCGGCAAAAGAGGGCTTCTGTGCGTCGATTAGATGTCGATGGTATTTTTAAATGGTTGCTTATTAAGCTGATTCTTAGCTCTTGTCTGAATATAAAACTTTTTTTTACACATAACGACGGTGATTTTGTAGTGAGTTCCTTCCATTTCCGGATCATAGTTGGATAAAAAGAATCTTGAAAAGCGGCGCTTTTATCGCTGTAGGCGTACATATTATCTAGTGTTACTACGAAGATAATGTTGAGCATTATGCGGTAAAAAACGGATAAGATCCTGCGCATGCACGCGAACTAGACTGTGTTTAATTTTAAAAAATATGCACATGCGATTTCCTTCGAATAGATTTCTGATCGAGAGCCATCCGAGATCTTTAAGTACTTTGTTAGTATCGCTGCCGCTCATAGCGCCTGTCACCGTTATAGCAATTTGGTACTGGGCTGATTGTAATTTATCTAAGTTTTTTTCTGTTGTTAATGAGTACAGTTCACTGCCATAACTTATTACTGTAAGAAGGAAACTTGTATATGCAATATCAAGTGCTGCTCTGTTAACATTCCATTGTATTAACTTTATGTAGTTACGGGTATGTTTTATTGTACCAAGCACTTCGCTCACATGAGTATCCCACGATATGGTAGGTGTCAGTGATAGACCTAAGTGTTTGAGCAGCATTACTTCTAACAAAATTTGATTTCTTATGAATAGAGGGAGACTATATTGTTTTAAATGTGCTAGGTTCCTTACGAATGTCTTTAGTTTTGCCTATGTTTATATCAATTTGCCATGTGTCACACCAATTAACTATTTTGATTAGGTCATTATTTAGTCTGTTAGTAGAATATGCATATGTGTGGGTATCGAGCAGTGTAGCGTCATCAGCAAATAATTTTAATAAACACTCTAAGCTATCCCCAAGGTCATCAATGAATATAAGAAACAGCAGAGGGGTAAGGATACTCCGCTGAGGTACCACAGTTGATGACCTCTTCATCTTAATTTTTGTGAACGATTTACCATCTGTTACTTCTACACCAGCTCTATCTCTTCTATTTGCTGACGATTGTTCTTTACTCTGTCCCTTCACTGCTTTATGTACAAACTTAGAGTGCCAAGATTTCA